TATATATATATATATATATATATATATCTTTCTCACTCATACTGTCCTATCCTCCATATTGTCTGGGAAGTAGTACTTCATGCCTATATTCCCTGCACTAGAAAGCAGCGCCAGGAGAATCACTTAGTCAAGATTATTCTCAGCTGCATGGAAGTTTAAGGCTAGCCTGGGCTACATGAGCATCTGTCACACAACACAAGACAAACAAAAAACACTTCTGTATTTTAGCTTCATGATATTTAACAGTACTTTATGAAGAGTAATTCAGTTGTCTGAGGTGCCTTAGTGTTTCTAACTCCTTTTATTGTTCAGGTACGATCTTCTATCTCCAGTCCATAGTAGTTTACTCTTTAACTCTTGATATATAATGTCTGCCCACTCCTAAAGATGAACCATAAGTTCTGTTTCAAAGAGATATGTCTTTAGACTTTAGATTTATACTTTGTATATATCTGCTTTTGACTCTGGGGAGTAAGAAGCCTTTAATGCGTACTAGATTTCAAATAGATAGTTATTGTTGGTTCCTTCAGGTTATACTCACTTTTTAAGATCTACAGTTCTCAGTTTTTCCCTCATTCGAAATTTTTTAAAAATTGTGACATATTAACTAGTGGTATACTGGTCTTTTATAGCAATGATTTTTCCAGATGAGAAGCAGTAATGTAGCAGTGTTTAACAATGGAAACTTGATACATTTTCTCATTTTCCTACTTTGAGATTATTGATTACTTTAGTCCAGGTGCTAGAACTATTTATTAAAACTTTATTTGCATATCTGTTATATGTGTTCTTCTCTGATAGAGAAACTTTCCCCAGAAACAATAATTCATGAATAGTTCTCATTTCTTCTTAAGATTTATCCCTTGTTTTCGTCCTCATAGGTTTTCCTAAAGGAACATGAACGACAGCACTTACAAGATCTGCTTCATCAGGAAGTGCTTCGCAGAATCATTGTGTTGCAGCAGTGGTTTAGGGTCTTGATCTGTAGGCAGCAGTTCCTCCATTTGAGACAGGCATCTGTTATTATCCAGGTGGGATGAGAAGAGGGTTCTTTGTGTGAGAGTGATTTTTGACTTTAATTTAGTAACTAGAACCATTTTACTATGAAACACTTAAATAATAATGAAACTTTAGAGATGAAAATGAGTCATACTCATTTCTTAAATGCTTATAATACCCAACAGATTACCTTGCATATAACTGCAGGTAATACCCTGGGAGTTCAAAGTCAGCCTTCCAGCTTGTCTACATAGAATTCCAGGACAGTCAGAGCTACAATAGAAAGGCCCTGTCAAAAATAAATAAATAAATACATAAATAAAATAAGATAACAGAACTTACTGATTAATTTGTAGTGCGGTTTTCACGACAGGGTTTCTCTGTGTAGCTTTGGAACATGTCCTGGAACTTGCTGTATAGACCAGGCTGGCCCCAAAATTGCTAGTTTTGATAAGCAAAAAAAGTTTTTTATTTATTTTCTAAAGAGCCAAGTTTTTGCTTATTAGCTTACATTTGAAGTATTCTTGGATAATAGCTTTACCTGAGGCTATTTTTGCTTAATCATCAACCACTACTTGATGGAATTTTTTTCCCCTTGAGTTTTTGCTAGAGCCCTTTGCATTCTCTTAGTTTTTTGTTGTCATCAACTTTAATAACATTGGTTTAGTGCTTAGCATAATGGGCCTCCATCAACTTGACATGCATAGGCTCATTAGTTGGATATAAGTCCACAAAGATGGGCATGGCACTTGCTTAAGGCTTTGACAACTTTTTGCATACCATCTGTTAAGGCATTGAGGTCTTAGAAGAGGTGATCTTCAGCACCTCTTATAAAGCAGTACTAATTTCCATTACAGCTGCAGGAGCCGTACCTTCTGTGGGCACAACAGCAGGTTACAGATGAAACCAAACCAGAACCAACCGAGCATCAACACAACTCAGTGGCAGCATAGAAAGGGCTAATTATTATTATTTTTTTAAACTACCAAGAAGTTAGTTGCTTATATACTTAAAGTGCTAAGACAGAAATTTAGCCTTTTTTACCTTTTCTATAAAATGAGTGATAACTTGACAGTCATTTTCTTTTTTTTCTTAGCGTTTCTGGAGGAATTACCTAAATCAGAAGCAAGTCAGAAATGCGGCTGTGCAAAAAGATGCTTTCATTATGGCTAGTGCAGCTTCCCTTCTCCAAGCTTCCTGGCGTGCTCACTTAGAGAGACAGCGGTACTTGGAGTTACGAGCTGCAGCTATCATTATCCAGCAGAGATGGAGGGAACTGTATAGGTGCAGGCACAGGGCTGCTACCTGTATACAGGCAAGGTGGAGGAGCTACAGGCAAAGTAAGAAGTACAAAGAACAAAGGAACAAAATTATCCTTTTGCAATCAACATATAGAGGATTCAGAGCAAGACAAAGGTACTCTATGTTAATGAAGCAGTTGGTTCTTCTGTTTTCATAGGTCCTGAATTTAAACCTTTGCTTTAATACTTTTATTATCAGTTATGTTTTTATCACTAGAGTGTGATAAATTTCTACCAGTTCTAATCGAATTGTCTGGGCTATAGCAGAAGTTAAATAAATGTTCATTGAATTAAATCAGGTTGGAAACCTCCATAACCTGTGGTTATAACTGCTAAGAAAAAACTTGTACATTTGGTTTGATCTTACAAATTTGCAAATATACAACTTCTTTTTTTACCCTGAGAACATTGATCTCCATTGTACTATATTAAAGTAATGCTATTAATGGATCTTTAGTTCAGTTAACATTTTGTCAAGGCTATCCAGTTAGGAATTATTCATATAAAGAAGAGGATAATTTGAACTAGTACAATGAAGTTAGTTTTAGAAATGTATAGATGAGTACAGTGGTACTTACTAGTCCTACTAAATAGGGGACTAAGACAAGAGGATTTCTTGAGCCTGAAATTTAAAGTCAACTTTGAACATAGTTAAGGATAACAAGGTTCCACCTCAAAAAAGTATTTCCATTAAAATATTTTAGTAAATTAAATTCTCTTCATTGGTAACCAAGAGCTGTCTATAATCCATTTTGTCTATTTTTTTTATAGGTATAAAGCTTTAAAAGATCAAAGGCTCAAAGAAACAAAACTAGAGTATGGATTGGTGCATATCAAGGCATGTGGAAATCTAGAAATTCAGGGCTCAGACCCTTCTGAGTGGGAGGATCGTTCTTTTGACAACAGAGTGAAGGCCATAGAGGAATGTAAATCTGTGATAGAGAGTAATCGAATTAGCCGTGAGAGTTCAATGGATTTCTCAAAGGAGTCCCCAGACAAGCAACAGGAGAGAGGCAGAAGCCAAAGTGGTACAGACTTGCAGGGAGAAGTGATTGTAAGACAGAGACCCAAGTCCTTGGAGGATCTCCATCAGAAAAAAGTAGGTCGGGCCAAAAGAGAAAGTCGGAGAATGAGAGAATTGGAACAAGCTATATTTAGCTTAGAATTGCTGAAAGTCCGTTCTCTTGGTGGTGTGTCTCCTTCAGAGGATCGTAGATGGTCTACAGAATTGATGCCTGAAGGCCTGCAGTCTCCACAGGGCACACCTGATAGTGAGAGCTCACAAGGGAGCTTAGAACTTCTGACCTGTGAGGAGAGCCTCAAGGGCAAACCAGAGTCCCTTGTTTTAGATGAGGGTAATAAATCGAAAATTTCATCACCCAGTATATCTACCAATCCAAAATTCGATTCACAAGACAGTGCCCTCAGTACCTCAAATGAGACTAGCTCTGCAGTGATTGGCAAAGGAGCATCCTGTGACTCAGAGCAGTTGAAGAATGGGACTGAAAAGGCAAAGCTGGTCTGCAGTTCTGAACCTGTCACCTGTAAACCCCAGCTGAGAGACTCCTTTGTTTCCAGTAGTCTGCCGACGTTTTTTTATATTCCCCATCAAGAACCTCTGAAAACAAGTTCCCAACCAGACACAAGTATCCAGAGAAACAAACGACTGGAAAGAGAAGGCACTTTGAATACAGGTTTTTCTCCAGATATCAACAGGGAAGCCAGGAAGTGTCAGTTCTCCAGAGATGAATTGAATACAGATGCTTCGTGTACTGTGCTTAAGAAGTTAGAAAAGCTGAATACTGAAAAGGAGAAAAGGCAAAAGCAGTTACAGCAGCAGAATGAAAAGGAAATGATGGAACAGATTCGTCAGCAGACAGATATTTTAGAGAAAGAGCGTCAAGCCTTCAAGACAATTGAGCAGGCACCATCCTCTTACCAGTCAAGACAAAGAGTAGAGAGGCCATCTTCTCTGCATATTCAGAATACCCCAAGTAAGGGAGAAGCTGCTGTACTAGGTTCCCCATCAGCAGTCACTAAAAGAGATGCAGCTCTTGCCACAAAAGATAGTCCCTCCGTTCATTTACCTCCAAAAGACCGACCTGTCACCCTGTTCTTTGAAAGAAAAGGAAGCCCATGCCAATCTAGGACTGTCAAGGAATTATCCAAAACAGAAAGAATAGGCACCCAACATAATGCCTGTAAACTCTCTAATAATCGCATTACAGAAAGAGAACACTTTAGGTCAACACACTCTTATGGCCACAGATCTGATGACCCTTCCAGAGGGGGAAGTTCAAGAGCCATTTTCTTCACACCGAAAGACAATATGATTATTCCACTGTAAGTGAAATTTGTATTTTATGTGTTAACTAGGAAGTTTCCTAGAGTAGTTTGTTGAAGTACTTTTCTTTGTGTTCCATTCTTGTCTACATGCACGCTGCTCTAATCTGTGATTTTTCTCTGTGTAGTAGTTATATTCTAGGAATCTTTGAATTTTTTTGGAGGGGGGGTATTCTTCCTCATTAATTGAAAAAGCATTTGTAAAGGGTGCTTGTCGACGTTCCAGGCATTCAGCATATGCTGGTTGCAGTAAAGCTGTGAAGTGGAGTGATCCAAACTGGTTATTATGAGACTTTTCAGAACTTAGCATATTTTGTCTCAGCTATTCGCCCATTTATTGTCTTCATTAATGTCTTTTTATTTGTTGTATAGAAGTTGTTATACATAGGTCTTTTTCATCTTGTAGTACTGAAACTCACTCACTAGCCAGCTCTTTTTTCCCTTTCCCCAGTTGATGGCAACTACCTTCTACTTTATAGGCTTTTTGTTTTGTTTCGTATTTTTGAGACAGTTTCTTACCATGTAGCCCACACTGGCCTGGAACTTGCTACGTGGACCAGACTGATCTTGAACTCATATCTGCCTGCCTGCTGAGACTGCTAAAGGGATGTGCCACTATTCCTAGATCTAGCTTGTGTTTCTAAGAGTCAAACTACTTTAGGCATCTATTTTAAGTGGGAATTCTTTTGTTTTTATAATTTAGTTGTTTCCTTTAAATGATGATAACCACGAGAAAAGCATCTTAACTCATGTCAGTCATGAGGAGCTGTTTTCTGGTTTAGGGTTTTCTTTTTGTGTGTTGTTTTGTATAGTTTTTTAAATTCTGATGCTTGGAATCAAACCTAGAGCATCATACGTGCTTATCAAGCGTCAGACTTACACAGCTAGTACTCACTGAGTTATCTCCCCAGTCCAAGATAACTTCTTACAACTCTTTATGAAGTAAAATTTTTCTAATGGAAAAGCAATTAACTTACAACTAGTGTTGTAAGTTATTGTTGGTTTTGAACTGGTCTGATGCTAGTAGTTAAGTCATGATTCGCAAGGAGTTTGTAGTCTTAAGAATGAATTTTAAAACTCATAATACTGAATTAATCAAAATAATTAGTGCCTCAAAAATCTAGGTATTGTTCAAATTATCATCAGATTCTGACACTCTATTTCTACATAGAATTTAATAATAAAGCAGTCCTGTCCTTGAATTTTTCAGACAAAATTAAACATTCACAAGCCAACACTACAATATCTGTATTGTTTGTAGAATACTTCATTTTACTTAATGACAATTCATATCCTGCCATTGTTAGTATTATTTTACATTGCCTCAAGTTTTTAAAGTTAAGATAGTGAATGAAAACTTAGAAGAGTTCAGGAAGTGATTTTTTTTCCTAACCAATA